AAAGCCACAGCAGCAACAGCAGCAGCAGCAGCAGAAGCAACAACCGCAGCAGCAGCAACAACAACAGCTGCAGCAACAGCAAAAGCCACAGCAACAACAACACCAGCAGCAGCAGAAGCAACAACCGCAGCAGCAGCAACAGCAACAGCAGAAGCAGCAACAGCAGCAGCAGAAGCAACAACCGCAGCAGCAGCAACAACCGCAGCAGAAGCAGCAGCAGCAGCAGCCTGTTTCAAAGCCAGAGGCAAGCGGAAACCTCCCCTGCAGCAAAGCGAGCAGCACAAACAGCAGCAGCAGCAGCGTCGCCAAAGTGGCCAGCGACAGCAACAGCAGCGCCAATGGAGCCAAAAACACTAGCAGCAGCAGCAGCAACGGCAGTAGCAGCAGCAACAGTAGCAGCAGTAGCAGCAGCAGCAGCAGCGACGACCCTCTCTTCCAGCTGGAGGTGGAGGGAGACCCTGAGTTAGAAGAGCTGTTGAAGCCGACGCCAGTGAACGAGCAGCAGCAGCAGCAGCAAAGCAGCAGCAGCAGCAGCAAGTTCCAGCACCAGAGGCGGAGGCCTGGGCGGCAGAAGGACGCTGCAGCAGCAGATGCAGCAGCAGCAACAGCAGCAGAAGACACTAAGAAAGCTGACACCACTTTTTACCTTGCTGCAGGTCGCGCAGCAGCAGCAGCAGGTGCTGCTGCAGCGGGAGGAGCAGCATTTGCTGCTGGTTTTAATCTGCTGCTGCAGCGGCTCGGTCGGAGAATGGAAAAGGATGGGCTGCTGCTGCCGCTGCAGCAGCAACCCCCCGCAGCAGCAGCAGCAGCAGATGCTGCTGCTGGCTGCAATGGGGTGCAGCCAGCTGCATCAAACAGTGGCGCCCCACAGAGCAGCAGCAGCAGCAACAATGAAGGCGGCAGCAGCAGCAGCAGCAGCAGCGGTTTGTACCGCGTTGACCGCAAGGCGCTGCATGCAGCTCTGAAGCAGCAGCAAGTGCTGCTGGAACGAAAATATTTGTGCTCAGATGGGGGCCCCCTAAGGGGGCCCCTTGGCAGCAGCAGCAGCAGCACAGGGGACCGCTACTTTGCTGCTGATCTGCGGCAGCAGACTGACGGCCGCATGCGTGCTGCTGCTGCTGCTGCAGCAAGCCCGCAGCAGCAGCAGCAGCAAGCGGATGAGGCAGCAGATTCGCAGCGAATTGTTCTCAGCAACTTCGTCCGGCTGCTGCCGCTATGGCCGGAGCAGCAGCAACAGCAGCAGCAGCAGCAACAACAGCAGCAGAAGCCGCAGCAGAAACCGCAGCAGCAGCAGCAGCAGCAGCAGCTGGTAGTGCTGGAGTCCACTAAGGAGCACCTGCTGCAGTCGCATTTGTTTTTAATGGGCCTTCACAAAACTTCTCTTTCAGTTTGTTCTTTTTGTGCTGCTCTTGGCTGCCCGAGAAGCAGCACAACGAGGGAGCCCTGCCCGCGTAAGCTGCTGCTGCTGCTGCTGCTGCTGCTGCTGCTTCTG